TTTTTACCTCAGCCTCTTTAGTCAATCTGACTTTCATAACATCTCTAGCACAAGATAGCCAGGTGAACTTCTGTCTCTTTATCTAGGGAGGTGGCCCATCTGTTGTTGTGTGACAGGTTAAGGAACCAACAGGGACACGCGATGCTGATTCTGAGCCCAGGGGTGCCACAGTGGGCACTGCCCACTAGGGAAAGTCTTTTGCAACGACACACCCAACCCTTCTGCCTTAGGCATAAGACATGGATTAGGAGGGCCCGTTCATGTTGGGGATATTCCCTAGACACACAGCAAGGCCGGTCAATGAAAGCCCGTGGCTCCTCCATCTGGCCGTCTGTAGGACAGGGCCAGGTGAGGAGGCTGGAGGTGAGGAGAGCGAGTGTCCGTGGAGGGCCTCAGGACAGACTTGTTCTGGAGTTCAGAATCACTGAGGCCTTAGGGCTGACCGGCCTCTGAAGCTGGTTCTGGCTTCTGGGAGACTGCCACTGGCTAGCCTTGAGGCTCCTCTCTGAATGAGGTGGGGGTACCAGAACCACCATTTGGAAGATCCTTCAGACAAGGACACTCAATGACCTTGAGGGTAGAAAACTGCTTTGGTGTGTGTGGGGGGTCCCATTATCCATCAGCTTCTAGGTGTGAGTGACTCTAAAGGGAGGCCGTTGGGAACTGGTAGAACTGTTTTTGTATCATGCAGGGTTTGGGGACCTCTGGGAGTGGGAATGATATCAATCAGGACAGGATTGACTGTTGGGAACCACCTTGCCCGAAGCTCTTTTCTGCTCTTGCTGAGGGGTGCCTCAGGCCAGGGACATTTCTCAGTTCCCATCAGCCATGATTGAAACCTCAAGGGCCTGCTTGCCTTCTGGGTTTCTCCTAGCTGCCTAGCAGTCTGGGTGTGCACTGGGGCATTTTTCCACTTGGAAGGCCTGGGCCGTGAGTGTGAGACCAGTGGTGCCCTCGCCCCATGTGAGGGGTGGTTTTGTGTTTTCTTGGTTTGCTACAGAAAGCACATTTGCTCATCACTCAAGAGACTGCCGAGACCTATAAGTTCTCCCAGAGGTGACAATGGCCTGCACTTCCGTCCCCTCCTCAGGGTTGTGCAGAAGCATCCCTGGTTCTAGCTGCTGGAGCCTGGTCTATTCCTGTTCACGGCTGATGTGAAGAAGCCATAAGGTCAAGTGCCTGGGGAAAGGATGGCACCTGGGATGTCAGATTCTGGCCCCTGAGCCCTTTCTGCCTATTATCCTCCAACCTCAGCCTTCTTTGTTGCTGTGGCAACAACAACAAAAAGAGTTGAGCTAGAGGAAGTTAATATTTTCTAGTACTTTCCTTGCAGCGGCCACTTAACTTATGGTTCCCCACAACCCTTGAAAGCACAGGAAATCTCGTCTGTATGTTACAGCTTCATTGTCTGACTCTAGTGTGTCTGTCTCTCCTCCTGTTCCCTTGGGAAAAAAATTTTTTTTCCAACTTGCTATGTAGTCAAGGAGGACTTTGAACTCCTGATCCTCCCGCCTTCAAATCCTGAGTACTGGGGTTGCAGAAATGCACCTCCGTGCCATGCTCAGGGTCTAACTCCACGTGCTCTAGACAAGCGCGCTACCTGCTGAGCTGCCGCCATGTTTCTGCATCATCACCTCAGACTCTAGGGATAGACTGCTTCTGTGCCAGGCCAAGGTCTACCCCCAGCTCCTCAAAGCGTGACCCAAAACACAGAGGGTATCAGTGGCTAGCCCCACACCCTGCTCCAGCTTCAGGGGACAAAGAAGCCTGAGACACTAGAGAATTTGAGGAGGCAAATAAGAGAAATTGGGACCACAGTTTGGTCTGCCTGTGGCACCGGCCCAATCCTTTCTGAGAAGTGTTTTTTCCCCGTAAGGTGGGGCCCCTTCTGTGGAACCGGGGATTGAATTCAGACTCTCATGGGTGCGAGGCAAGTGCTCTACCACTGAGCCACAACCCCAGCCTTTATCTTTTTATTTTATTTTTTTAATCTGGAGACAAAGGCTTGCTACCTTTCTCAGACTGGGCTCAGTCTGGTCTTGAACACATGATTGTCCTGTGCTGGCTCCCCAGTGCTGAGATCATAGGCCTGTGCCAGCAAGCCTGGGGTAGTAGTTCTTCTTTTCCTTTGTTTCAAGGGTCTGTAGGACCTGGGACCTGTGGGCTTCTGAACTCTTGATTGCCTCCCGTGGGCAGGCTGAGAGGGGTGGGGCCAGCACTTCAGGTTCTCAGAGGAAACAGAAGAACTGTAAGTGACAGATCAACGCTGCAGATTGTGTATCAGCCACACGCTGCAGAACATATTCCTCTCCTGTTTGCGCCAACCATGAGAAACAATCCACTGGCTGTTGGTCAGAAGGTTAGAAAAGAGCAAGCCTTAGTTTCTGCGAATACACAAAACTGGAGGCTCAAACTGGACAGAGCTGCAGGCCGAGTCAGTAAAGTCCTGTGCCCACCGGCTCAGCAGTCCGGCATCTTCCTGTGATCCTTCTGTGGCACCAATACACCCTAACCCTCAATTCCTGTCTGTATTAGACTCAGTTTCCCTCATAGATACACGTACCTAGAGTTCAGCTCGCTTTCTTTGTTTTCCTTTTGAGACAGGGTTCGTGTAATCCAGGTTGGTGTAGGATAACCTCAGGTTCTAGATTCTTCAGTTCGTGTGTCCTGGGTGCTGGGATTTCAGGCATGCTCCACCATAGTCTTCAAGCTTGGTTTTCTTTTCTTTTTTCCTTTGCTGAGACAGGCTTTCTCCGTTTAACTCTGGCTGTCCTGGAATTCTTTCTGTAGACCACACCAGGCTGGCCTCCAACTCAGAGATCTGTTTGCCTCTGCCTCCCTAGTGCTGGGATTAAAGGCCTGTGCCACTATGCCAGTCCAAGCTTCGATTTTTAATGCCATTTTCCCCCCTAAAATTGTTCACTACCCCTTGGACAAGGTTTGGAAACTGCAAACAATGGGAAAAAAAATTAGTTACTTTCAGACTTTCCATATCCAGAAAGGCCCTCGGCTACTCCCACGACAGCACCACCTGCCCTCCACTGGACACTTCAACTGTATTCTTTTTAAAGTTTCACCTTTCCTTCTTCCCTTTTCATCACAAAGGTGGCAAGGTGGCATGTTCCTTGGACCAGCTCTTTTCTTGTTTCTTCAAGCTAAAAAAGGAAACTCCTCTTTCCACCTCCCTGGCTAACCGCTGTTTGAAGATAGGAACCGCTTCCTCCTGTTCTTTTTGGAGGTTTTAAAAAGCACGTCTTTCCCCAGCCAAGAGCCTACTATGCAGAGGATGCTGGGTCCAAGTCTGCAATGCAACTGTGCACATGTTAGCGAAAACAGCAGCTCTCACATTTCCCAGAAGGGCTGCCGTGTGCACAGACCAGGCCTGGCTCTTTGCAGGCCTCTGTTACCTCCGTTATGGGCGCGTCTCCTGGTGAGGCAGGTATTGCGTGTTGAGCCTGCAGATGAGGAGACCTGAATAATCCTGGTTTCTCTCTCTCTCTCACACACACAAATTTGAAACTGCCAAGGTGTGATGGAGTGCACCTATAATTCTAGCACTCTGCTGGGAGGATCTTGAGTTCAAAACCAGCCTTGACCCTCTTTCATAAAATTAGCAAACAGGTATTTCTGAGAAGAGTAAGGAATATTCAGAATCTTTTTACCAAGTGACATTTCCCTGGCTTCCAACAGTCTTGTTTTGTTTTTAAACAAAAACTCCCCTATGTTTTTTTCTGGTTGATGCTATCCTGTTTGTTTTGAATGCATCTGTTGTCATGGACGACTTTGGTTTTGTTTTGAAAAAGAGCTTCCCTAGGTTTCCCAGGTAAGTTTGGAAACCCATTTCCAAGGTTGCTCTGTAGCCCAGCCTCCAGAGTGCCAGGATTACAGTCTTGTGCCACTGTGTCCAGCTTTTGTTGCTTTTTACATATACCCTTACTTGAGTATGTTTCCCAAGTCATTAAACATTTTGAGCAAAACATAAGTTTATTAACCACCTATCTTCCTACCGACCTGATGGCTGTCACACTTCCCGAAGGTTGGACCTTCAGTTTCAGGGTAGGGAGGTGATCTCTGAATCTATAGATAATTCGGTGATAAATCAGCTCCTGGATATGACGGCTTGTGTAAGAATGTCTGGGATTCCCAGTCTGGGAGCTCTCCAGCCCCAGAACTTGCTATTAGGCCAGGCTGGCCTCTAACTCATAGAGCTACCTGCCTCTGTCTCCTGCATGCTGGCCTTAAAGGTGGCCTGGGTCGGGGGAGCGGTTGTAGCGTTTCGTACACAATGTTTACTGATTTCTCCAAGGGTCAATATCTCTGTTCTTCAATTTAGCAACATCTGGTTTACCCTTAATTAGATCATCATTTGCATTCCTGAGAGTGTTTGTGAATTGAAAGTTTGCATATGTTGAGCAGTTGCCTTTGTGTCTGTTTGGGCTGAAACAGTGCTTTTCAATCAAACTTAATAGCATATTAAAAATGGCCTAAATCTACACCATTCGGTTGCTACCAGCAAGATACAGCTACCGAACACTTGAATCATTTATTTAAATACAGAATTATTCCATTTAAGCCTTTAATTTAAATCTAAATTTACATATTCTACTATGGCTAGTGGCTGTTGTCTTAATTTTTTTTTTTTTTTTTTTTGCCTTGGACATTAGGGTCTCAGTGGGTGGCTTTTATTGATTTGTGTGAGCTCTTTATATGGATATTCATCTTTTGTCGCAACTGTCACAAATATTTTCCTCAGGTTGCTATTTGACCTTTACTTCAAAATGTTAGGCAGCCAAATCAAGTTATCTTTTTTTTTTTTCTTTTTTCTTTTTAATTTGTTGTGGTTTCTGATGTAGGTTAGAGTTAGAAAGGCTTCCCTGGTGGAAAGGCTTCGCAGAGGTTTTCATGAGCTTTGTGCAAGCCTGTCTGTGATTTTGTTTTTAACCTCCTTTAGCCCTGTAATCTACCCAGAAGTAATTTCTCTGTGTGGCCTCTCTTCTCAGTGTCGTGCAGAGAAGATGTACTCCATGAACTTTACCTCAGATGGGATGCCCTGGTACGGTGAGCAGTCACTAGATAAGAGGACAAAATTTAATAGCATGTAAAATACTACTATTAAAAATTGATATAGCTGTAAATTTTATTTATGGTGGGGCACGTGAACTGTGTGACCCAGGGGAACTAGCCTGAAGCAAGGGTGAGATGGAGAACAGTGCAAACCCCAAAAATCTCCATCTGGAGACCACCAGGAGTAAGATGGCTCCCTCCCTTTTCTGTGCCTGCATGCCCCAGTGCCCATAGTCTTGTGACCCCCACCTCCGCCACTTTTGAGGTAGTCAGGTGCTTAGGCTTGGTGTTGACAAGGACATTTCCAGCTAGTGCTTGGGATTCCTCTTCAAGAAAATGAATCATTCCCAGCACCTCAGCCCCAGCCAATGATGTACACTCACCTGAACGCCCCTACCCGCTTCCCCAAGTTTACATAGCCCCTATTCCCCTCAATAAAGAGAGCTGTATTGCTGGAAGAGCCAAATTGAGATCCTGCTATCCCACCCACCCAACCCAGCTAAGCTTCATTCCTTCAAGCCCAGAATCCGTAGCATCAGTGCCTCGATGCCCTGAGGGAAACGAAGTGGACCCTCAGGGGTCCGAAATGACAGTTTGTTTGTTTGTTTGTTTGTTTGTGTGTTTTTGTTTGAGAGAGGGTGTCTCAGTGTACCTCTGGCTGTCCTGGAACTCCCTCTGTAGACCAGGTTGGCCTCAAACTCAGAGATCTGCCTGCTTCTGTCTCCCAGTGTTAGGATTAAAGCCGTGTGCTACCACGGCCCAGCTCTATCTTTTAATTTTAATACTTAGGAAGATTTAAAGTATTGTTTTTTACATTTTATTAATTCATTTTTTTTATGTCTGTGGGTGCACAAATGCCACAGCTGTGTGTATGGGCACCAGAGAGCAAATTTTAGGGGGCGAATTATCTCCTCCTATGTGGGTCTCTAGTACCAGAGAGAAATGAGGTGCATGGGGAGGGGAAGAGGGAAGGTGGGGAAGGGACTGAGAGGAAAGGAGGGAGGGGAATGTTAAAAAGAAAAATCAGGTGCTTAGCCTTGGTGGCAGGTACCTTTGCCCACTGTGAGACATGTCATGAGTCCAGCTCACAAAGAGTTTAATGACCTAAGAGAATGACTAAATAAGATATTAAATGTGTTTAAAGATGCTACAACCTGGCCTGGGACTATAGCTCAATGGTAGGGTTCTTGTCTGGCATGCATAAAGTTCTGGGTTCAATTTCCAATAACATACACACACTCGAGTGCGTGCACACACACAAACACACACATAGAAAGAGAGAGAGAGAGATGTATGCACTCACTCTCCGTAGAGTTCCAGTATGAGGAGTGCCGAGGGTGGATTCTGCCTGGGCTCTTGCTGAGCACTTAAAATTTGAAAGACCACTTCTAAATAGTTCTTTAAACTAAATAGTTCTTTAGTCAAAAGGAAATTGAACCAACGAGCATTGTATTCTAGGAGACCTTTTGATGGCCCCAGCTGTTCTGAATGCTGTGTCTGCTTTAGCTTTTACTAATAGCGTAAGCCTAAAATGTATCATTGTATTTGAAATCTGAACTTCCTTAGTTGGCAAGGAGCTCAGGCAGCTCTTGAGCCCTGAGAGCTGTTTCTTCCCTTGTCAGTCCTATGCTCCGTTCTTCCATGCCTGTATTTTGCATTGTTTTTCTCTTCTTAGTTAATTACAGGTGCTCTTTATACGTAAGGGCTGTTATTTCTTTGTCTCTTGTATGCATCACAAGTGTCCTCTTGGGCCTGTTGGTTTGTCTGCCACTGCTTGTACGATTTTCCTACTGCTCATAGGTTTTACATTTTAAGTGGTCTCTTTCTTTCTTTCTCCTTGTGACTTTTAAATCTAAAGTTGTTTTTTTGTGTTGTGTGGTGAGTCAGTGTGCTTGTGTGTAGGGTATAGCTCTTACTTTTAGTTTTTGTAACATGCTTGGGATGGCCTTCTTCACACTGAGGTTGTAAATATTTCCCCCCATTTCTCTTCTGGATCTTGTTTTGTTTTATTACCCAGAAGTCTTTAATCTAGCTCCATTTTGTCTCTCAAACCATCTTTAAGGTTTTCATTTTTTTTTTCCAAGGAGAAGAACGATTGTTTCAGAACTTTTTGAACATTTTTCTCTCTCCCTATTGATTAGAAATGTATAACATGAGGCTAGAATACAACTTAGTGACAGAATGTCACCTGACAAGTTCAAGTACTGGGGATAAAGGTGAGGGATGGGGGAGGGAGAAAGATGGGGGTCTGTTACATCTGAATTCCTTATAAATGATGTGATTTTTCTCTTCTGGATCCTTTCTTCCATTAATTATTCTGTTTCTAAAATGATGGCCACGGTTTTAGCTTCTGTAAACTTTAAATTTAACTAGACTCTTGAAAATGTAGAGGGACATTATTCTTTCTTAGTATCATTCATTTGAACAAAAAATCGTCATCTTCTGGCCTAGGCAAATTTCCTCTCTATTTATTTACTCATTTATAATAAGCCTCTTTCTGCGTTTTAAAATTATATTTCATGTCTATGTGTGCATGTGTGTGTGACTGCGCACAAAAGTGTGTGTATGTACTCACACAGGCAGCAACAGCTGCTGAATCCACCGAGTTGTCAAAACACCCAGAACACAATACAGTGCGATGGATATTTTTGTGACCTTACAGACTGGTCTGAAGGATCTCAGCAGGCTTACAGTACTGAGCCTCCCCAGCCAGGATCTGGTATTTAACTAAAAATACCCAGTGCCCAATCCCATCCCTGCTGGTAAAGAGGGAGTCAGGTTAGAGTTAGCGTTCTGTTCGGGGTCTATTTTAAAAACACCAGCAGTAAAAATGTTCTCTGTTCTAGGACCCAACAGCACAGAAGACACCAGGTCACAGACATCGTAGAATGCTCAAGAGGCTTGCCATGCAAAGCAAAGGTTCAGCTTGCGACATGGCTAGCCAAGAGCCATGGACTCACTAATCTGCCTCAGCTGACCAAATGTTGGATTTACAGTCATACACCGTCTGGCTGTTTATTATTCTTAGTGAAAAAAAACCAGAGTTTTTAAAAGTAAAATAAATTTAGGGGGAAAAAAACCCCGAAATTATGGTGGCACTGTAATCTGAACACCTAGTCCATATTTCTCTGGTGTCTTTCTATAATTAATATTCTTGCCTGTTGTGGTAACACACCTTTAATCCCAGCACTCCAAGTAGAGATGGTAAGATCTATGTGGGTTCAAGGCGAGCCTGATCTACGTAGTGAGCTCGTGTCTCAGTAAATGAATAAATAAACAAACAAGTAGATAAAAATGAAAGTCTAAAATGAGTATTCTTGCTTAACATGCTAGCATTCTCTTGCAATTCTAACACTCAAAGGGCAGAGGCAGGAAGATCTTAGCCAAGTTTGAGGTCAGACTGGGATACACAGTGATACATTGCCTAAAAAAACAAAACAAAACAAAACAAAACAAAACAAAACAAAACCAGAAAATGGGTGTCCGGAAGAGGCAGGAATCTGCCTAAGTTTGTGCTGTGAGTTAGAGCTGGGTGCTCTGTGTTTTGTCCTCTTCCTTGGGGAGGTGGAGGACTCTCCTGTGAGAACAATGGCCACCCAGTGCCCGGAGTGTTGGGAGGGCAGAGAAAGGGACTGCCCCCTGAGGCAAACAGACACCACATCCTGCTGGGGTGGGCCTCTCGGATGCCCTGACTCTAATCTCCACAGATTCTCATGGTGCCCAACACCTGGAGTCAGGGGCCCTGGCTCCCATCCGGATTGGATTATTCCTGTCTGGGATCCTCTAAAACCCGGGGACCAGAACAGATAATCTCAAGTTCCTATCACCATTCCTGATTCCCATACATATAGCACAAGCTCATTTGCATTTTGTAGCCATTTAGCCAGAGGTTGGCTCTGCCGTGCTGCATGTCCGTCCTGAGGCGTGTGACCAAGCCAGTGTGTGAGGAGGCTGGTGGGGTGTCAGTGGTCAGTGTAGAAGATCGGGGTGGAGTGTCAACAGATGGTGTCATTTTTGTGCAAAGCTAGAGGCCTGTTTCTGTTCTGGCACCAGGATCCACAGGATAGCCTGTATGGCCCAGGTACAGCCCACAGAAAGCCTGCACACCCAGGCCCAGGAGCTTGACCTGAGGTGCCTCTGACTGGTGACTCCAGTGAGCAGGGAAGAAGCCAGGGAGAGAAAAATGTGGCTGCCAAGTCACCTGTGGACTGGCACTTCTTGCCTTTCCCGTAAACAGCAGGAAACTGAGGCCTTGCATGTCATCTCTCTCCATCGGACAGCTCCAGGGGAGGCCTATGTTTTCCAAGAAGCCAGTTCCTCATGCCCTGTGTTTGGGATGGGGCCCTGGACTGTTTTTGTAACCAGGCCTGGTATTGTCTGCCCCAGACTTCCCTTCCTTCCTTCCAAAAACTTCTTCCTTAGGGTCACAACTCTAGGACACAGGTGTAGGCGGAAGGACAACTTGCAGAATCCAGTTCTCTCCTTCTGTCACATGGGTCCTATGGAGGCTTGGTGGCAAGCTTCCTTACCCACTGAGCCATCTCGCTGCTTCCTCTATCCCACCTCTTGGAGGTGGGTGGTGGGGTCTGTAAACTTCTTCCAGGATGCCAGGCGCCTGCCCAAATCCTCACTGGAGATAGTTGCAGTGAAATTCCTTTGCTTGCAGCCAATTCTGTGCTCAATCTTGCATCAAGGCCCCATGTTGCACAGGGCCAGTGTATGTTTGGGGACTTATCACCTGCAGGTCTGGTCCACCTGCGGCCCGGAGGGTTGAGGTGGAGGGATGAGGGGGCCTCACTCTGGGTGGGTATCGCTCCTCCTCCAGAGCCACTGTCACCCCCAGCCCCACAGGAAGTGGTTCTTTCTGTTTTTCCTTTCTGTCACCCAGCAAGGTTCTGCATGCACATTCTTCCATGGTGAATGCGGGTCCTGCAGCGGGCCAGGCATCAGCCAGCGAATCCGCAGGAAGACTCTGGAGGACTGAATTTTGGGAAAACATGGGTGCAATGTCTGTGGTTAGTGTGCTAAGGTTATTGGTAGATGCTGATTGTACATTTAATCATATCACATAGAAAAGGACAAAAGAATGCTTCCTGCAGGTTCGCAGCTCAGGAAAAGCCCCTCCTGTGTGCTTCTGGGGCACGTCTTTTAAGATGCATTTCTGTTCACACACAGCAGTTTTAAACAAAGAATACGGTCTGTAGGGATATGAGAGTTAAGGCTACTGTCCCAGCCAGCTTTCTGTATTGGGAAATGAAGCAGATGTACGGTGCTTGCAGAGATGCTTAGCCATCTCCTGGCCCTTCTCCCACTGGCACTGCTATGAGAAGCGAGCATCCTTGCCTTTACCTTGTGCACCATTGCTGTGAGAGCTTTGCCCTAAGTCTCTAGGTCAAGGGTTATCGTGTCGCAGTGATGAACATCAAAAAGCCAAAGGCTCTGTGCTGTGAGCACAATCTGCTTTAGGTTGAGGGGAAAGCTGAGCATGATGGGTATCTAGGGTGACCTCCCAGACCTACTTGAGTCCCTCATACCCTATGCCATCTATGTCCTCTGCCCAAACCCTTTCTCCTGGAACCTCTCTGATTCATTTTCCCCTATGGTCAGAGCCTCTATGGCTACTGTGATGCCTGTAGGTAGCAAATGTCAGACAGAGGGAAAAACTGAACAACAGACATCTCTGGGTTCAGGACAAGGAGTTCTGGCCCCTTCTGTGTGGCTTGGGTTTTAGTTGGAGCCTTGCACTGTGACCTCTCTCGGTCCTTTGTGTGTTGTGGCTGGGACTCGGATGATCGCTAAGGCAAGCCATGACATAAGGCTTTGGATCTGAGGGGATGTGGGACCCTGCCAGAGCCACACGAGCACCTGTAGTCCTGTTCTGAGTGTAAGCACTGGGTGGCCAGGGGGAGGATGGCGTTTTCTTGCCAACACTGTAGTTCCAGAGGAAGCTGCAGCCTGTATTCTTTATTTTTTCAGCAGCTTGGGGAGTAAATGCCTGCTATTCAATCTGCATCAGGCACTGTTCGTGGTGCCTACAACACTAAGTAGAACAGACAAAATCTCTGCTACTGATGTGTTTCTTACAGTCAAATTTGGGGAGACAGATGGTAAACAAGATAAATAAAAAGATATTGTTTGTCAGACGTTAGGAACTAAAATAGGGGGAAGAAAGGAAGTGTGCCATTCAGGGAAAGACTGTGGGTTTCTAGAGGAATAGAATTCCCAGTAAGGAGTGGCGTGAGTGAGGGCCCTAGGGCAGGAATTGTCCCAAATGTTTGCTAGTAGGAAGGCCAGTGTAGTTCCAGCAGTAGGGTGGAGCAAGGCAGTAGGACTTGAGGGATAAGGGGCAGTGGGGCCTTTATTTCAGCCACTGTCCTCTGTAAGAGGTATAGAAAACTGCACCCGGCAGAGGACTGAAGCAGATGCTGAGACTCACAGCCAAACTGTGGGCAGAGTGCAGGGAATCTTATGGAAGGGTAGGAGAATAGGAGGGCTGGGAGAGGACAGGAAGGAGCTCTACTAGAAGACCAACAGACTGGGTCCAGGGGAGCCTACAGAGACTGATGCACCAACCAAGGACCACGTATGGAAAGGACGCAGGTCCCCTGCTCAGATATAGCCCATAGGCAACTCAGTTTCTATGTGGGTTCACTAGTAAAGGGACCAGGGTCTGTCTCTGACATGAACACTGTTGCCTCCTCTTTGATCACTTCCCTTGGGTGAGGTGGCCTTGCCATGCCACAGAGGAAGAGAAGCAGGCAGTTATAAAGATACGTGATAGTCTGGGGTCAGTTGGTAAGGGAGGAGGGTTCCCCCTTTCTGAGGACTAGGGAATGGGATGGGGGTGCAGGGAGGGAAATTGGGACCTGGAGGAGATGAGGGAGGGGATGATCCGGATGTAAAATGAATAAATTAATAAAACAAATTAAGAAGAAAAAAAAAGAAAATACACCCAAGAAGCAAGGGCAGGAAGCAGGAAGACCAGCTGGGTGAGAGATACTGGGCCTGAGTATTTCCAGTCCTGGAGTATGGTAGGTTAGAGATGGAGGATTTGGGGTGACATGGTGGGTTTTGGGAACAGCCCCTCTGAAGATAGAGAAGCCTGGTCAGAAGTAGGAGTGCTCACTCTACCTGTGGCTATGTTCCACGTTGACTGGCTGACTGGGGAGTGTGGGTTTTTGTCACAAGAGAAGTCTCAGTTGGGGACACACTGGTGTCATTTCTGTGGACAAGATAGATGTGGGGCCTGGTACTCTGGCACCAGGATCATGTCATTCACTGACTTCTATGCCCCTCAGCTATCCTTCGTGCAGAAAGACAGACATTTGTCCCTGAGCCCACCCAATGCTGCCTGTCCCCTCCTCCTCCAGCCTTCTTTTTTTAGTCACTTGTCTGCTGTGGCTTTGGGGAGGGGCTTCTATTTTGGGTTCCTTCCACCCCCACTGGCAGAGGAAAGAGGCTGGGAGCCATCGACACCCTGTCCCAACGACCGACGACAGGTCTGAAAACTAGGTCACCCCCCAGCCTGGAGCTTAAATACCATGTCTGTCATTGACTACATGTCTGGTCCCCAGTAATGACCTCATGGGCTCTGTGTGGCTCTGGTCAGCCCACGGCTCCTCCTCCCTGGAGCCCTGGTAGATGAACAAGCAGTAAAAGGGTTCTGCTCATCTGCCATAGCTCCTGAGGCTCCTGGCTGGCAGGAGGACCGCCCACTGAAGGCACAGGGACAGACGAATGAACTGGCAATATGCCCAGTGTTGTAATTCACAGGACAGATTAACAAACCCAGGCGATTCATCTGACTGAGACCTGTGTGAGAATGCTGTTCAAACACAGAAAAACATGGGCAAGACTGTAAAGCACAAACTCTCTTTTACAGTGTGTGTGTGTGTGTGTGTGTGTGTGTGTGTGTGCGCGCGCGCGTGCATTCGGAGATCAAGGGATACCTTGTAGGAATGGGTTCGCTCCTTTCACCATGAAGATCATGGGGATTGAACTCAGGTCAGATTTGGTGGCAAGTGTTTTACCTGCTGAGCCATCTTGCCAGCCCCCATGAACTTTTTGTTGTTTTGTTTTAGGAATAATATACAGTCATATAACCAGGACCCAGCTCATGAAATAAAATATGTCCTCTAAATAGAAGGTTCCCCGGGCTCCTTCCCATCTGCAAAGAGCTCAGCCCCATTCTGTCTGTTATCACTGTTGGTCAGATCTACCTCTTC